TGTAATCGCACCTTAGAACACCAAGACTGATTTTGAGAGAGAACGAGGTTGAAAATGGGTAAAATGGGGCTGTTTTGGGGATTTTCACATCTTAAACCCGAGTTGGGTCGGGTTGACCCAATTTGGTACCTTTTTTTTTTACTACTAAACACTAAAAATTGCATAACTTTTTGCTCGGGACTCCGTTTTCGATGAGGTTTTCGCCGATGCTTCCGAAACGAGATAACCTACAAGCTCCAATAAAAAGATTCCGTTGTTAAAACCCAATGCTCAAAACCATACTCGAAAAGTCGATGTTTTCAACACATAATTAAGCGTATTAGGAAGATGGATGTTACATTTAACGATATATGGATGCATTTAGCCGACCTCTTATGAAATTTATAAAAATAAATTGTTTATTTCATGCATTTAACCTTAACTTAATAAAGTAACCATAAAATATTCTAACAGGTATTAACAATGTGTTATTGGAACCTTTTTTACATAGAAACAGAAAAGGGGAAGGAAAATGAGAAGAAATTAAAAAAAAAACTCGTGTTCTAAAAAAAATCAAAACCGAAAAGAAATGAATTAGAACGAACATAAACTATAAGTTCCTTTCTAAAACTCTTTTTTACCTACAACTGCTTTTTCTACGTGTCAAAATGACCGTCTATTAGCCTGTTTAATATAACATGAACTTTTTTTATTTTATTTATTACTCATTTTAGAAAATTTATGGTTTTAATATGGATATAACAGGTATATATCATGCTAGTAATGGTAGTAGTAGGTATATATGAGTTTTTGTTCTTTAAAATGTTCCAACAGTTTTGATATCTTGTTTTTTAAAATAGAAAAAACTTTAAATGTATAGAATTCTCTAAAACTTGATGTTAGGAGTGAAAAATGATTTTTTTTAAAGAAGTGTATTGAGATGATAAATTAGAAAATGTTATAATAATATAATTTATGTTAAAATCTCTAAAACGAAGAATCTGTTAGGGTGCGTTTGGTACGCAGACAGGATAGGACATGACAGGACAGCTGTTCAGCATTTGGTAAGACATGACAGGACTGGACAGAACTAGTTAAAATGACCAATTTACCCCCAGTGAGTTGTTTAGTGTTTTTTTC